ATCCTCGTTTTGAGGATGGTTTTCGGATCTATTCCGTGGAGTTCAATTTCGACAAGGAAGAGAAGTCTTCGATTTTACCAAATCTATTGGAGTGGGTGCAGCCAGACACTCGCCAAACCCTTTTTTGCTGGATTCAAGACCATGTGAATGCCTTTGCTTCTGGAACGTCTTGCTGCTTGGCTCCAGAAGACAGGAACAGGATGATTGAACGCGAACTCTTGAAAGAAGCAGTCGCGGAACCAACAACCTCGAGAAAGAATATTAAGGGTGACACGCTCTGAAAACAGCGAGGAAAAGGAAGATGTGGTGACGCTGTTGGCAGATTGAGGTGACACCTTCGTTGAGCGGGTTCAGCTGCTTGATCCGCTTCAATCTCAAAGCCTTCTGGCGGGCAAAGTGGTTGCTCTTGACATGAGCCCTGAGTTGAGCGATCAGTTTTGTTTTCTTCGGTTTCTTGTTGGCTGTGTCAGAACTGAGACACCCTGACCATAAACAGAATAAAGACTAGCTGGGAGGTCAACCTGGTTTGGGGCTCCCTGGTTTGGCCCAGAACGAAGTAATTTTCATTTTATGTCCTCATTATGTCAGGATATCCTTTTTTTTTTGAAATTGCTTTTGTCTCTACAGATTTTCCTCCTCTTTGTTTGATTAGCCGTTCTTCGCTTTTCACACAGTTTCTTCCTTGTTTGGACTCAAGGAAACAGGAAGCTGAACATAGCAATCAAGCGCCTCGTGCAAATTCGGCAAGATTGAAGTTGTTTCTTTGTATTCATTCGACAGGTCCCATAAAACTTCATTGCATTTCTCCCAAGTTTGTACATCCGAAGGGTAGCTTATAATGTTTTGGTTTCTAGTTTTAGGTTAAAGACAGATTCAACATGTTTGGATGGGAACTGTTTGGATAGACCTGTTCTATTCCTTTTGTTTGTGAACTCTCCTCAAGGGACTGGTTGTTACGGAGACATCTAGCAATGAATGCCATGGATCCGATTGCACAGAGCAGGACTGAGGTGCCCAAAGCTAATTAGCCACTTTCGAGTGCAAGAGTGAATTGAGTAAAGCAGAAAGGACAGGTCTAAAGGATTCTAAACGTCTACAGAAACAGACATATAATATAATCTCTCTCTATATATATATACATACTATCATTCTTAGTAGAAGTAAGGGACCAGTATGAGGTAATTCATTCTCTTAGTAGGTGTAGTGCTGATAAATAAGACACCGACATGCTCAATAGATCTGTTCTAAAGGTGGAAAGGCACTATGTTCAATATGTTTCTATTCGAGAATCGGGTTTCTACTTTCATTCTGAAGACCTGCATTTTCTATACTTTGTGCGCAGGAAACAGAGGAAGCTTGCCCGATACTTTTCCAGATTCAGATGAGCGACTTCTTCACCCCGGCATGACATGCTGGGCCAGGTGAGCTTGACGGTCTCCACGGAAGACTGAAGACAAGGTACTCCTGGAATGCTGGCATGCTGGTTGAACCACATGCCATTCGCGGTGCTGACACAATGTATCGCACCATGGTTCCCAGCGAGGGAAAAGGGTGCTTGGCGGAGCTCAGAGTTGAAATTGGATTTCAGATTTGTAGATCTGAAGGATTTTTCAACAGATACAAGGGAGCAAACCTGCGCTTTTGCCTCTCCAAATGGTCGAACCCCGGGGGTGTAGTTTGGAAGATGGCGTCCAATACTTTTTGCAAGTCGTTTCTTTACTGCGCAATATATTTCCGGATTGGATCTTGGTCATGCTATTTTCCTCATGTCTTTCTCGTGTCCTTTTTGACTTACCTATTCTCTTTCGTCAGACCTTTAGACCCTTTTCCTTCTTCATCCCTTCCAAACTACCCCAGACAGAAAGAAGACATTCCCCCATGCCCAATTCTGGTTCTACCCTAATGCCTAACCCACGCGACCTGAGTGGACGTCGCAGTCTTGATGCTGACCAGCAAATTGTGAGGCGTGGCGGCGAAGAACGCATCAGCGGCGGCACATCCTGTGCCCGCGTCCGTCGCATCAGTGACCGGCGATCGTCCGCGTAGGCGCGCCTTAGGTCCCGTGGGCCCGGACTTAGGACTCGGTAACAAGTCACCAATTGGCTTGACGAGTTCTGGGCTGTGCCAAAACAGAATCGATATTGTTGAGCTTAGCTTCACTTTTACCCACAGGTTTTTTTTGAAAGTGCAGTTCAGTGTTGAAAGAGCAGTTGCAGAGACATGGCAAAGTGTGCAAACATCTGCTTCAAGAGACACACAAATAACTTGTGTAGAAATGGCGTGGATCGCTCATTGCCAGCCCAGTCCAGCTGATTCGCTTTAGCGGAGTTGGCAAGCAGTTTGGAGCACTATTTATGATGAAAATGAGCTGAGTGTCAAGAACTTCCCGCGAAAGCTGTTGGCTAGAGACAGTAACAAAGTCTTTGCGGAGTATTTTACATGTCAGGAATTGAGGCGTTGCTCGCTGAGCTTCAGTAAATCCCACGGTTCATACAAGTTAGCAGCTAGCCTTGTAATGTAGAAAGTCGAGATGGAGAACTAACCTTTTGCCAGGACTTTCAAGCAGCCTCTAGAGGGGTGTACCTTGCGCACCTTTCCAGAGCAAACCAAGATGCGTTAGACTTTACTCGCACTTTTGGAGCTCTGCTGACCTGTGTGTGCCTAGTCAGGGGTATGGGTTCGTTCGACAGGGCTCTATGGGCTTCCTGTGCCCCCCTGCTCAGTGCATTCCAAGTTTACAATACACCCACACGCCAACACACACACACGCAATCTCATGAAAGGAAGGGCAGTGTGAACCACCATCCAGCCCGTGCGGCACCAACGTAGGCAAAAAAGGAGAAATGATAGGACTTGAAAGCCAAGATCTATTGTAAAACAAACAATTTGTGAGAGGGATATGAAGGACACCAAGCTAAAGGCACCCATGAGCTGTACATCGCAAACCTGGGGCACATAAACGTTGCAAGTGGACGCGTGTAAACTCGGGCCACAGTGGAGACCAAATGACAAGATTGAAACCCTCCTGGCCTTACTACTAGAAGCAAAGACGCTACTAGGTGCTCCTGGCCTTACTACTCCAAGACTAGGAGCAAGGACGCTACTAGGGGCTCCTGGCCTTACTACTAGGAGCAAGGACGCTACTAGGAGCTCCTGGCCTTGCTACTAGGAGCAAGGACGGTACTGGGGGCTCCTGGCCTGACTACTAGGAGCAAGGACGCTACTAGGGGCTCCTGGCCTTTCTACTAGGAGCAAAGACGCTACTAGGGACTCCTGGCCTTACTACTAGGAGCAAGAACGGTACTAGGGGCTCCTGGCCCTACTACTAGGAGCAAGGACGGTACTAGGGGATCCTGGCCTTACTACTAGGAACAAGGACGCTACTAGGGGCTCCTGGCCGTACTACTAGGGGCTCCTGGCCTTATTACTGGGAGCAAAGACGCTACTAGGGGCTCCTAGCCTTGCTACCGGCGACTACTAGGTGCAAGGGCGCTACTGGGGGCTCCTGACCTTACTACTAGGAGCAAAGATGCTACTAGGGGCTCCTGGCCTTACTACTAGGAGCAAAGACGCTACTAGGGGCCCCTGGCCTTGCTACTAGGAGCAAAGACGCTACTAGGGGCTCCTGGCCTTGCTACCGGCGACTACTAGGCGCAAGGGCGCTACTGGGGGCTCCTGGCCTTACTACTAGGAGCAAGGACGCTACTAGGGGCTCCTGGCCTTATTACCGGGAGCAAGGATAGGGGCTCCTGGCCTGACTACTAGGAGCAAAGACGCTACTAGGGGCTCCTGGCCTTACTACTAGGAGCAAAGACGCTACTAGGGGCTCCTGGCCTGGCAGGCGCAAGGGCGCTACTGGGGGCTCCTGGCCTTACTACTAGGAGCAAGGACGCTACTAGGGGCTCCTGGCCTTATTACTGGGAGCAAGGACGCTACTGGGGGCTCCTGCCTTACTACTAGGAGCAAGGATGCTACTAGGGGCTCCTGGCCTTATTACTGGGAGCAAGGACGCTACTAGGGGCTCCTGGCCTTACTACTAGGAGCAAAGACGCTACTAGGCTACTAGGAGCAAGGACGCTACAAGGGGGATTACGGAGGCTGTGCGCCCCTGTTGACTTTGACGGTCTGAAACGTGTTAGGAAATGCAGCATGAGACAGCGCCAATACTTGTGTTCTATAAGTTCCTGTAGTTGCTGTGAGCTGGCCAGAAGTGAAAGTCGATACAGGTTGAGAAAGGGGTACTGCAGAAAACACAGCAACAAACGAGTCACTCGAGATGTTGAAATCACTCAGTATTTGGCATCCTGGGTGGCTTCCATTGTAACAACGCTGGTCCAAGCAATGTATCCAATTCAATGCCGGTTGTTTTCGATGTAATGATAGCTCCTTAGTTTGGAGGTATATAGGAACTCCATTGACGGTAAGGAACAGGAAAGGGCGAGAGGTAGCAAAGGAGGAGGTAGAAATAGACCAAGCTATCTAGGGCACAATTCAATTAGAAACTTGATTGCAAAAAAGGGTTTATCTTGCTGTTTTCCAACAATTTGGGCGGTTACATAACCTTTGTGTCACACGAAGAAATTGTGCCAAAAACCCACATCTATAATTGACATGAACACTTCTGCGAGCTAATGCGATATTTGAAGATGTTCCAAACTTACACAGCTCAGCGACAAATGAAGCCACTTGCCTTTTGTTTGAGTATCTTGACCACTTGTTCTCCCAATGAGAGGAATTTCGAAGACTGAAGACCTGACACTATGCTACAAGCCTCCTGGTGTCATTGTTGCACCAAGCGTTCTTCTCCGTTGTATTCTGCATGAAAGACGCTCCCGGAAAGATGGAAAAGTGCATTCGAGAGAGACTGCGGAAAGGTCGAGTGCCACACATCAGATCCTTGAAGGACTTGAAAGAGTAGGAGCAAGGTTCGCTACTAGGAGCAAAGGGCATCGCTACTAGGAG